ACACAGACGATCGGGAGAGATTCGGGTGATTGTCAATTGCTGCTTTGATGGCTATGGTTGGTTGTTCTTTTTCACTGTACGGCCGCAGACACATTCTGACAGCACTTCAGACAGCAGCTTTGTGCCCCGCCAGCTGCTTGTTCCATGCCTACCATGGTGTTTTTGTACAGGCAGCACTTCAGACAGCATTATGCTGTAGTCGGCAATCTTCCGTTTTGGTATAGAGTGGGACAGGGAGGGGGTGATGCTACTTTAGTCGCACGGTGGGACGGACGTGCAGTTCAGTTTTTTGGCACGCATACGGTGCTGCAGGGATTCTGAGGTGTACCTCTTCGGGCTCTTGGATACCTTTTTCTCGTTATATGTGTGCGTGTTCTTTAGATCCTCAGATGGCTCTAGCACTTTGGTGACCACGGGCTGAGAATCTTTGCTAGATTTTGGCATTTAGCAACTGACATACGGTTTAATGTGAAGACAACAACAACAACAACAACACAGGTGGTTGTTCCGAAAACCCAAAAGTACCGGCAAACGCGCTGTCTCCAGGCGCAGGTCCTTGTGGAAAGCGATTTTTAGTTTTGTTTTTGGTCCGTCTTTTATTTTGGAATATCCGAATTATCTTGTTCGCTTTTTGCTGGGGTGTGTTTAATTCAGACGACAATTTTAAGACCGAATTTGGACAGCTCTCAAAATTCCCCAGGGGTAAAACTTTTCCGATTTTGAATTGAGTGAAAATCAAAAAAGTGATCGGCCAAAAACCGGAATTCAGAGGGCATTTTGTTCGCTTTATTCCACCTATATTCAACCACAGGTATTGAGAAAGACCACGGCAAGCGATTCCTCTCGACATTCCCAAGGGGTATTTTCTTTCCAAATTTCAATTAAAAATCTGGTTCGCGAGATATTCCGTTTTTTGTCTAAAACCCTGATTTTCTCCCAGCCTACAAACATTTATTTCGGAGGGGTAGCTCACAATTTACTTAATATTTGTGTTGGGCGGTCAAAAAAAACGACTTTATATATGTTTCTCGCCTTGTTATGGGGATCACCAAGATGGCTTGTTTTCCTCCTGAATCGACTTCTTTAAAAAGATATCGCGAAAAATCAAAATGGACAAATTGTCCCAGACTGACCACATATGGTATATATTCCTCCTCGTGGAACAGACTGTGCAAGGAGCAGCAGCGGGAATGCGTCTTCTTCATGAAGCCACGGCGGACTGCAAAGCGGAAAGGAGGGGCCTCGGCTGGGACTGCTTCTTCCAGGAGTTCTGCTTTGGTTGCGGCCTCGTCTTCGAAAAGGAAGGCGCCGTCGGCGGTGATGAAACGGTAAGGTGTTCACTATACAATAGTACAGGTACAATCTTTTTTACGTCACCAAAACACACCATGCGTGTTATTGTTTGAATCGATCGCGTTGACCGGGTGACCCTGTGAAAGAAACTCCAGATGTTGTGTGCGTGACGACTATTTTCTCGGCATGTTAGCACCGACCGCCGCGCTTGGTTTTGAGACTGCACGTGTTTATTGTTGGTTTGGAGCATCATGGTTGCGGGTTTGGCCGCGTGGTAGGTAGGGAAGCGGAGTTTTCCCTCGACGTGTTGACGGTTCGGGGAGGGCAGTGGTTTGCAAGAGGTACTGCTGTGCGCATCCTTACGTGCGGCGGCGGCGGCGACGGCGGCCGCAAATAGCGGTGCGCGCCCAAGGCAAGCGATGTGTCGGCAGGGTCTGCTCTTAGGTGAAGTATGTTGAGGGTTGCGAAACCGATGGTGCTTGATCTGCACTCTTGTAATAGGTTTGTGTCTGTCTTGGTTTAGCCGAGGAAAAAAAGAGGGTTGCGAATCACAGCGGAACATGGGCAGTTCCCTTTGTCGTGTCGTGTACATACCTATCTACATAGATTCATACTTCCACTCGTTTCATTTGCGCTACAGCAGTACCGCTGCAGCTGACCATAATGAGAACCTTTTGGCCGTTACAAGTACACGTGTACTGCTGCCATCGCGCTACACAGGGCGCGAATGGGCCCTTCGGCGGCAACGGGGCTCGTGGGCTATGAGGAGAACGTGTTCGTCGGCGACTTCTTCGACCGGCTGGGCTTCTTCCCGCTGGCCGATCAGCAGTGAGAGGGAGATAGCAATGGGGGAAGGAACGGAAAACATGGGTGCTGCAAATTTGAGCACCGCTCGAGGCATTGACCACATGTTGAAGGCGGCGTGGCATGGCATAGAAGTGTGACGTTGAGAATCCCGAGGGTGGTGCTGGTAATTGTAAGGGCACAGCGTTTGGGACAGCTCGTCGAGTGAATGATATCCTCCGAGTATATGCCGAGCTGCAGCAAAGCAGCGGTGGACACGATTGCCGCACCTGTCACTACAGAAGACGCGCTTTGAAACCCGTCACAGTAGTCAAAAATGTCTAACCGTGTGCATCACCCCATGGGTTGTGTCGTACACAAGCATGCCTTGTTAGTCTTGCATGACAGGCACCGCTCCTCGGAGAAAACAAAAGCACCGCCGCCTTTTAATCGAGACAAACCTCGTCACCAGCGACACCAAGATTGATTAAAAAAATCATACAACAGGACGGTCCGACGGGCTCTCACGGAGGTGGTGCTCAGGCCCGCCGAAGAGCAGAGTTCCTTCCGGGGAGGGGCAGAGTCCGATGAAGGCGTTTTCACGGGCGCTCCAGCGATTCGAAAGTTCGGGTCCAACACGCAGGAGAGCAAGGCCTTGTCGTGCATAATGTGGTGCACGATTGCGCTGGGCGCCATGACCAACAACCTTAGCCTCCTCACGGTGAGTCGTTGGAAGCGGGCTTTTTCACTTTTGGGAGGGTGTTCGTGTCCTACTGCGGCGAAGTTGTTCGTGTGTATGTGTATGTGTATGTCTATGTCAGCGGCTAGACGGTGGTGGGGAATCTTGTTGCCCGGACGGCATGTTTGTGTACCCGATGGCAGCAGTCGCGTTAACAAGCTGAAGTGGATTGAAAGCAGCGACGCAGTCGGCATCAATCGCCAGTATCCTTGTCGCGTAGAGGATTCAGCTGAAGGCGTGTGAAGCCCCCCCCCCCCCCCCCCCCCCCCCCCCC